TGCGCAGGCCGTGCAGATAAGAAGCGGAGGGGCAGCGGGGAGGGCCGGGCCGTGCCCTTGGCTGCCGCCGGGGAGGCCGCAGTGCGGCTGTGCGGCCGCGGGCCAGCCGGGGTTGGAGATTCAGCCCACTGGCCCCGACGACACGTTCTCGTGGAACAAAGCCCATCTCCTCTAACACAGCTTTTTCCCAGGAATTGGCCCATGCAGAATAAAATAAATAAACCTCAAGCGTTTTGTGAAGGGAGGGGAAAAAAAAAAAAGTTCCTGCCGTACATAACTCGGGGGAGCAGATGTTTTTCCATTAGCTCACTGTTCTCCGCTGCACTGGCTGTCTTTACATTTCTTGTTCGTGGCATGTTCATTATAATATTTTTTTCCCAGGGTAAACTTTAGCACGTTACTGAAACAGCAAGTAGCCCGTTCCAGCCCCACTGTGAGCATATGGAATAGCTGTCCTAGGAATTTTTCTTAAAACGCTCCTTTAAATTAGCTTTAGGTCTACCTGGTGAGGTTCGCAGGCTGCGCTGAGCAGGCATTCAGCCAATCTTAGATCAAATTACCAGACCTACTTTGCTGCGAGTGGCCATATTTGGTAAAGTATTGGGATAGTCAAGAAGCTAAATTGTCAGATATAAAGTACTAGTAAAGACAAACAAAGTGGACATTGTAGTTAAAAGTAAAGCTTAAAATAATATAGCAACAGGAGCTGGAATATTAGAACTGTTATTAAAACTGGCTCGCAGCATTCTAAAATGCTCCATGTAAGTAGAGCGCACAGTTATTACTTCCTGGAAATATAATCACACATACTTCAGATAAGAAATCACTTCAGTTACCCAAAGAGCTTAAAACTATTAAAACTATTTCTTTTCAGTACTGACACGCTTTGCTCTCTGGATCAAAAGTGATCTTATAAAAATGTCGAATGAAGGTAAGTTTTGGTCATAAATTTGAATCATTTCAAGTACGTTTTCCTTAGCCAAACAGCATGATTGTATTTTCTAAACAGAAAAAAGGACTACTGGCATGATTTTAGAAAGGAAATAAGGGGCAGAAATAGTTCCTAGCTCAGAACTCTTCTCTTGGTGACACAAGCAGTATTATCACCAGTAATCTCTAGGATTCTCCTTGCAGCTCTTCCTGCAACAAGAGGTAGAAGAAGTTAATGAGCTTTATCAACGCTACCGAAGTTCCTTCTCTCCTCTCAAAGTTGAATTCAAGCTCTCAGTCATGAAAAGTAGAACAAAGAGGGAAAACAGGCGTATGGATCCCATAAAGACCACCTCTCCTGGAGCTGCACCACAGGAGTGTGTGCACTGCAGCACTCTTCCTGCGTACTCCTTGAAATGACCTGTTTCTCAGACTTGGGGCCAAGAACAATGTTAAGGCTTATTAATGTTAAAGCCTAATGAGATAACTCTCTCCTTTTAAGAAGCCATTACATTTCAAGAGGACTGGGAGGTTATTGTTAAAAGGGACCAGACAAGCTGTGTTAATCACGGTCTTTGCTGCAGAACACTTGAAAACAGCATATGCCTATTAGTATTCCTCTAAGCATGCCTGCCGCAGGGAGTGGACAACCTCTCTAGTCTTTGGGGACAGCAGACCTTGTACTATTCCAAAGCTAATTGTGACTACCTACAGGGAAAACAGGAAGATACGGAAACCCATTGAAGAAATGTGCTAAGTTCCCTGCTGCAGATGACTGTACTCCCAGCTGGTCCTATAAGAGATGGCCGGACATAGGATTAACAGTGAGAATTCACAGTTTTATTTGGATGTGTGAAAGAGATGAGAACTCTTTCTGGAGACCACAGATCCATCAAGTAGCTCTTTGGTTGCTTATAGTAAGCTACAAAAAATTAGCTTGCCAAAGTTCAGTAGGCACTGCTGGAGGGAAAGACAAGGTGCAGCATCCATTATAGTGCAGCACATTTGGACTTGCAGGGCACTTCCAAAGCTGCTGCTTTATTATCTACCCCACATAACTGTGCTGGTAATAAACCCAGAAAAGTTACAGATAAAAACACTAACTCTATGCCCTCTTATGCGTGAGATAAGTATCTTTATCACAGGACAAAATCCTCTTCAGCCACTGTTAAAAGGATGCATGCTCTCACGCACTAATTGTGAGACCAGTGAGGAGCGCAGCCAGGGCTCTCCAGCTCTGAGGGACTGAGGATGCTTCTGCACAAGGCAGAAACTCCTATTGCAGCCTCAGGTGGAGGGTGACACTGTCAGAATTCCCCTACGTAAGCACCATTGGAAAGCTACCACCCACTAATGGTTCCCTTGCAAGTAAATGTGCTGGCTTTGTGGCCCGACCTGGCTGCTGGATGGCTGTAAGAAGAGCCTCACACAGCTGCGGGATAGCTGGTTTTCTATCCCTCTTTCCAATATCTAAGTGCAGAAAGCTCTAACTGGATCAGCTGGTTGGTACGATTAGTTTTGATGCCTTGGGATATGAAGAGGCATGGGAACTGTAATGGCTTTAATGGAACCCAGACATGATTGCAGCCTGGCGCTCTAAATCCATAGTCACACACAGAGACAGGGCCAGCTGTGTCCTGTTGCTGTATGAAAAGGACGGATGCTTTGTTATAAATTTACTGTAGTATGAGGTTCGGAAATTATTATAATTTTATCTAGAGATTTATAATTAATGCTAAAAAGGTTAAAGTGTTAACGACAACAAAAACAACGATACACGAGTCATTTCCCAAAGGCAGATTAACATTTTTTTCCCCTTTAGAGATAGGACACCGAGGTATGAAAAAGTTAGGCAACTTGCCTAGAGTCACAAGATGAGTCATTGACTGAAAAAGGACAAGTCCAAGCTATAGAAATGTACAGCATACTGGTGCAGCTCTATCATGAATATCAAGGGACTCCCAATGCAGGCATCCAAATGTTATGCTAATTGCCTGTTGCTTTCCACAGCTGTTAATTTTGGGGTGAGCTGTCACACAAAAGCATGTGACTACCTCAACTATTTTTAACCGTGTCTTTCTGTTTAATTTGTTGTTTATGAAATACCTCTATTTTGGAAGTTATTAACTTCTTACAAGTACACTTGTTCCTCCTTTCCCCTCCTTCCAGATGGAAAAGAGTCTAGTACACAAGGTCAGTGACACTCTTTTGGACTATTCCACTCGTTAAGCCTAGGGTAAGATCTGACCCACTTCAAAGAAGTCCTCTAATTATTTAGGCGCTGTGCCCTTCTCTACAGAGAGTAAAGACTACCCCAAAATACCTGCATCTCTCCTCACCCCTCAGAACACCAGGATGCAGTAACTTCCACACTGCTGCAAGAAGAGAATGGGTAATACCTTACCAAGAGCTCATTAAGCTGCATCCATAACAAGAACTGGCTTCAGTAATGAAATTACAAAGCAGTCACAGTATGTATTTTCAGAATATCAAGCTGGATTCAAGGCCAGTTAAAAGTAAGGATGAAACAAAACTAAGATTTAAAAATGATGGAACAGGACAGAAAAGTTACAGCTTATAAAAATAAATTCTGTCTAAAAGAATTAATTAACACCTTTGAGAAAGGCACTGGATTTACACTGAAAAGTAATCATAGCAATTCACAGCTAGGTCTCAGCAACCATTAGGTCTTTATTGCTTTTGTCTTTTCACACAGCAGCAAAAATGTAAACTGCCTAGAGCTATCTGCAGCATGATGGACAACAGACACCTGACTTCTCATCACAATAAACTCTGGTTATTTTGCTCCCCACCAGCCTCCTCTGCAGCCTTAAATCGGGAGCATAAACTGAGTAATGCAAAATCTTGCTAGTGATTTTGAAGCCCACAGCACATCATTGAAATTTACATACACACAAGCCTTTAAGTGAACACTTGTGATTAATTTAAAGGATGATGCATTCCATAAGGTAACTTCTTTTGTTCTTTAATAGTTAGCCAAATTGTAACAAAAAGAATGTCACATATTTTGTACCAGAACTGAAGTCTAATTGGTAGGAAATGGCCCACAAAAACAGCTATAAAAATCTTTGCTGAGAAGTAGGGTGAGACTGCCAGGTTTTATGTGAGAATTGTCAATTGTACAGATTAGCTAAATGAGAATTTGAAAGGTTCTCCTGCATACAGAATAGCAAATTATCAGCCAGGTTCCAGTGGGGTTTTTTTTTTTTTTTTTTTTTCTCCTTGCAAATGGTAGCAGAAACATCTAAGAAGCAATCAGAGCACTCAAATGTAATTTCAGGCGCACAACTGTGGGCCAACTTGTGGAAGAAAAGCTGTGTCTTTTGAGAGCAAAATTTTGGGGTCAGAACTCTTTCTAACCGTCCTGAAAGGCTGGAATGCAAATGGTAGAATGTGCCATCCAACTCGGTTCCTCACCAAGTGTCCTACATAAAAGCCTTTCATGAGTTTGGAGATGGCCTCTGGGTAGAGTTCTTTCTCACTGCTCTCGTTTTCCCTTTACGTGCTCTGCTGTAGCATCTCTGCATGAGTGCCTCAAACTGACATGCAACCTACAAGTCCTTGGGAGACTCAGTCACAGATTAAATGAGTGGAGGACTTGCTCTTTTTAATAATTTTCACTTAAACCTCAGTAAAGATTGGAAAGTTCCTAGACTAAAAATAACATTTAACACATGGTTTGCCCAGTCTTATTACAGGGGAGCATGTTGGAAAAGGATAATGAAAAGAATTGTCCTTACCAACTACCATTTGTTAATGAAGAGCTACCTACTTTCTTATTTTAAAAGCACATTTCACTGATGACTGAAGTTTTCTGTGTGTTGTGGAAAAACAGAGGTCAGCTCTAAAAAATCACACTACTCCAGTAATTTTTTTATGTTATATTGAGTTAAATAAGTGGTATTTAAAAAAACCAGCTGGGATAGAAAGGCAGGTTTTCTGCTGGAATAAAGTGATTTTCAACTACTGATTTCAACTACTTCATTAATACTTATGTCATCTCATTCACTGCTGGAGGGAAAAGGAACTCCAGGTGCTCCAGGACTTACCAGCTTGTAGCCAAATTTGTTCAAGAGTTGTCCACAGCTGCATTGGTCCTTGCTTCATTGTGCTGCTCTGCATAGTTATTTCGGACATGGCCTGTTCCAGTCGTGATGCAGCAAGGGAAGAGGCTCGCTGTGATCCTATGGACCAAAGAAACAAGAACAACATGCATTTTATACTTCTTTGGGATATTTCTTTGCCTCATTAAGGCAGCCTGTCTGATTCTCCACTCACTGTGTCAGTTTTATGTAACAAGAACTCTACTGGATTCTTGGGTGACCAACTGGAGAAACATGTTTTATAACAGGTTAATTTACTGAAAAACCCCACTAAATTACCCAAAGGCTGCAGCTCAAACAAGGGAATTAAGAGACAGACAGTAATTTTATAAAGGTCTGCTTAGCATTCATCAAGGAAGCAACTGTATTTTGCTCATTTGGAAAGCAGAACTCTACCATCAAATATTTCCCACAAATACTTATTAGTAACCCATTTGATAAGCACACTGTCCCCATACAATTACAAAATATGGCCGACTAACGTAAAATCTTAGTACAGCATTACAGAGTAGCTTGGGACCATTCACACAGCATACACATTTCAAGTGACATCAATATTGTTCTACTGGTTTAGAGGCAGCGTGGCTTGTCATTTAACCTTGGGGAGCAGAGAGCTCAGTTCTTTGACTATATTAACCTTTAGTGTGTGCTGTAACATTTACGCAAGAATGAAGTATTTGGCACTCACATCTCTGGGACAAAACATCACATCAAAAGCTACTCTCAGGAAGAATGCATGGGCAGAGACCACATTCTCCAATACAGCAAGTGGGATTATACTGGTGAGCCGACATCTCAGAGGGATACCCAAGAGGATGGTAACAAAATAAGAAGCTACAAAATGAGATTTCAGAGATGGCTTTCTAAAGCTTTAGGAAATAAATATTTTAATATACATAGGTTTAATGTGATTTTAAGGTTGATAAGCCCTTTCTCTGGAGAGCTGCTGTGACCGAAGCACTTGTGCTGATTAGCATTACTCTTCAATCTATCCTTACAGGCTGACCTTGTAGACCCCAAGATGCTGGAGTTAAAATCCTGCTTTCTCTCACTGCAGCCACCCTGAGGGAGCAGCAGAGCCTAGGAATGGGTATTCGGAGAAGCTGGGATGGCTCTGGGCAAGTGAGGGGACAGAAGGGCAAAAACCCCGTCACGGGGCATATGCATTAAGTGGCCTCTCTGAGATGGACAGCATGCTCTTCCAGCTGGACCGTGCTGAAGAGAGGGCTGCCAAACCACACCTCCTTGCCAGCAGACCATCACCCGGGCCAGGGCACCAGCAGGCAAAGCAGCATGGTCCCCTGGCCGAGGTCCCCTGGCCAGCACTGGGACCCAGCCTTCTGCTGGGACTGGGGGGAAGCACATGTCCACCTCACACTCCTTTGACACCTTTGCAGCGTTGGGCAGGACACGTCCCCCTGCTTTTACCTACCCCGAGGCACGCCTGCCTCTGAGCGTGTCATGGCTCGGGAGAGGCCACAACTGCAACTCGAAGCCTAAAACTGCTAGGGGAAATATTTGTCCCATTATCTCACCGCTAACTAATGTCATTCATTTTAAGCAGAACTTCAAAACAGCCCTGCAGCGCAGGCGCCTCCCACGGCTCCCTTGGAAAATGCAAATGTGCTCTTCCTAGATGCATTTCTTAAATTCCTACATACTTTCAAAGACATTCCTGATCTAATGTTCCAAGAGATGACAGTGCAGCAATGCAGCAATTACGGCTTTAATGGTACAGTAAAAGCCATTCTGCTTTGCACCGAGAATTTATTGTATTTAATAGTTTATTTAACAGATCCATCTTCTGTTTCACTGCACGGAATTCCTCCCCCTGCTCTGCCCACTCACACTCCTCTCCCCCCATCCCTCCCTCCACCTAGGAGAAATCTCACCCAGGAATTCAAGTCAGACAATGGTTGTTTAACACAGGGAAAACTACCAGGCACTCACCCCTGGCTATCCAAAACACAGACAGCTTCTTTGCAGTGCAGCAGCAAGAAGAAAATGGCCATGTGATATTTAGGAGGACTCTGAAGTTAGGGCAGACCTCCTGCTTCTAGGTTGGCTAATTTGGAAAAAATTACCTGAGCTTTGGGGATTTTGCAGTCAGTCTAACCAGATTTTTATATTAGCACTCCTGATCATCTTAGTATGCTTTGAAAGCAACTTCAGTATTACATTTCTCTGCCAAGACTGCCCTCTTTCAGAGAGGCTTTCTGGAGCTGTGTTTCTTGCAAGCACGCATACGTAATGCTGGTCTGACTGCATGGGCAGATGGGTTGGTGTTTTTTTCACATCCTCACAGAGCTCAGGGAAATCCTCTTTTCCTTGCAAGTCAATCCAAGGAGACTATGTCACTATAAGGCACCTTTCTGCATTTTGGAGAGGTTCACACACTGCCGTGAGGCTGAACAGCCACTTAGGATCTACTGAAGCATCCTTCCCTCACAAAGCAGGCTTTACAGGAATTATCACTATTAGCTAGTTGCACTTGAAGGAACATGAGTTAGCTGCTCCTCTTCCCCTTCTTCATCAGCCAGGTAGTTGCCACGAGGGGACAGCCTGCGATTTGAGACTGATGTTGGCGAGTGCTGTGGGCTTCAATCTGCACAGCCATAAAAAGGGAACCCAAGCTACTTAGTAATTTACAGCAGAGGCTCTTTGCATTTAACAGCCTTTGGCATTCCAGTCCTCTGATGTTTATTTTCTTTCCCATTTCAACCTACATGAGGAAGCAAACCACCACACTGGGCAGAGACCATATGATCCCTTCCCATCCCTGCCCAGCCTACGACACAGGTATGCTCTTGTTCTAGACACACATATGCCAGATGAAAAGGCTCTCTCCATCCCAGCACATACCTGCACGTTTGCTGCTGCTGTTCTTACCCATCTCTACTGGACTGCTCACAGGAACGCTCCTAAAAGCTTGTCTGCCCAAATAAACTCTCTAAGAGAAGGCCTTTGCCAGCTTGGCTCTCCTGGACTGAAAGGAGCTGAGCCACAGCTCTGAGCCTCAAGCAAGCAATATGGTGACCCTGGGGGTGGACTGAAGGTTACTGGAGCCAGAACAGAGTATACCTCTAACGTGCTGTCTCCAGAGAGAGGAGGTAGGCATGTATCACAACGGTATCACTCTGACCTCAGGGTGGCGGGGGGAGCCAGAAAAACTTGAAGCAACATTAAAAAAAAAAAAAGTCTCTGAACATCTCATTATAAAGTATCTCTTGCTAAAGAAACGTACATCTTTATATGCTAAAAAAACCCCTACAAAACCTGTCTCACAGAACTTTAATGTCATGCCTCAAAATACATGCAAATGTTGGCATAAGAAGATATCACATCAATTTGTTATTTTAGAGCAGTGTCTTTCTCTTTTTAACAGCTCCACTAGACAGAATATAAACTTCACATTTTACAATAAAGCCTTCCACACATTCTGGAAAGAAATCATATAAATAATAAAATTGATTTTTTCATGATGAGCTCTGCGTATAAGCCATACAAAATATATCTAAATAATTTTAAAGCACCATTCTATGGTTGTTATAAGACCAAGAAGGACCAAGTTTAATATTTTTCATCTATGGAAAAACTGCTATCAAAATAGAAATGTATCTCAGTAGATTTACTAGGCTTATAAGAAACACAGAATTCCCTAGCCTAAATCACTTCAGGCAAGAGCATTATAAGATAAGACTAAATCAGAAAAAGAATGAAACAGCAAGGCAGCTGACTGATATCAGTGAATTTAGTTAGGGACACTGCTTCAGTTAGGAGAAGATGAAGAAAATAAAGAGGAATTAATCTTCCTGGCAGCAAACCTAAAATTCTGGCACAGCAAATAATCTCATTGTGGTCTAACTGAGGGAGAGGCCAGTGTCAAACCCGGCCGCAGTAATCTCCCCGTCAGTGAAGAGCCCAGAGATCACAGAGCGCCTGTGCATCACAGCGATACTGCCGCACGCTCCCGGGGGATTTCACGACGGAAACCAGAGCCTGTTCCAGAATGATGCAAAAAAAATAAAATCAGACCTCCTCCCTCCTTCAAAGCAGCCAGTCACAGCTGCAGTTCTGGGGAGGCACAAGGGCAAGAGGGGCTAGAGCCGTACTATCCGGTCTCACCTCCTACTGTCTTCCAAGAGGATCCCAACCAGGACAACAGACCCAGCTGCCTCCTCTCTGCAGATGGAGAACAGCAGCACCTAGAGCCTGCAGAGCAGCGAGCCACAGACCCTTGCTGAAAACAGCCAGCGCCAGCTCTGCACTAAGGGGGGTGGTGTAATTTCAGTACAAGCCACATCCTTACGTCCATCGTGGGCGCAACCATGTTAGCATGGAAACCTACAGTCTCGAAGCGGAGGAGGAATACATTTCTTGGCTAAAACCAAACTGCCTTCAGTGAAAATCACTTTATGTGCATGAAAAGCTGGTTTAAAGCATGCACTTTATATTAATTTGCTCTTTCTGGCAGGCAGTACCATGGCACACGGCACTTTCTGATGAACTACAGCTTCTCCATTGCACGTTGGCTGCAAGAACTGGGCTAAGAGCAGGCTAGAACAGGTACCCAACCCAGGTGCTTTTTGAGGAGGGCACTACACAGAGACCAAGCATGCCTGAGCTTCGCTGTGCCTCTGGAGGAGATGCTGCGAGTCTGCAGCAGAGGAGTGAGCGGGAGGCAGGAGTCTTAGAAGGGTGGGCACCCCAGCACGTCAAAATATTACAGGCTCTGCTGGTGACAATTTGGTCTCAAAATCTCAAACCGTGCTGTGAAGTGGGTGTAGTCCAAACTTGGCCACACTCCGTTCTCCAGCCAACTACAAAGCAAGGCAAGAAATCTTCAAAAGAGCATGGGATCCACACCCAGAATGTCTTTTACATACCATGAAGCACCAGCTAGAACTGAGGGGACAGGGATCAGTCCAGACTCAGCCCCACAGTCTAGGCACCATAAGCCACTCACTGTTTCAGCAGCAGAACGGGAATTGGATGGGTAACAGAAGTATTATGGCAAATAATATCTTTTGGGCTTTATTGCATATTGCTGATGGATTCTGCAAACTGTCTACAGTGTTTTCCAAGCCATTTTCATATATTCACTGAAACTGGAAGTCCATTTCACTTCCGAGCATCGGGGATGACAGGGGATATTTCACAAATCTTCACTATTATCAAAGTGATGTCTATCCTAAATGATTTTCCATCACCAGGAAACTTTCATGTCATATCTACTCCCTTTTCCAGACAATTTTTAACATGCCAAACAGCATATATTCATTTAGCATATCCTCTTCATCTCTCTGTGCTGAATTTAGCCTGTTCTCTTTGAATAAGCCAAAGACTATAGAACACTGTCATATAAACAATGAGGAAAAAGGACCTACACAAAATAGAGACACTCATCTCAGCAAAGGGTAATAAAAGGGAAATTGAATAAAAAGATTAAAAATTACATAAATATGTGTGTATAGATTCAGTAAGATTACAATGTCATAAATATAGACCCTAAGGGTTTAACACTACAAACAAAAGAGCAGACACGCTGAATAATGTTTTGATATTTGAATATTTGTAGGCTCAAGACCTAACTTTGCAATGCTTTTTAACCAGTGGCGGGTGTAGATGGGGGTTAAACACACATAATTTAATACAAGTCATGTACTAAACACATAATAACTTGTCCTCCATCTCAGCCATATGTGCTGAGCATGTGACTTCAGTTCTATCCATTCCAAATGTTCAAGATTAAGACTCAGACAAACCCTAATTCCCTAGCCTCAAAGCATGAGACTTGTTTAAGTTTTAGGTATTTAAAAAAAATAAGCTTTTTACTTTCTTCTTATCCAGTTTCTGAGTCTGTGAGGTTTGTTTTTTTTCGCGAGTGTTTATCTACATCCACAAGGGTAGAAAGTTGCTTCCCTAAAAAAATGGTTCAAAATTAAAAGGCAAGTTTCTCACATAATCATCTGATTTTGAGAGTTAGGGTTTTAAAGGAAGCACCAACTATCATGAGAATTCTGATAAAATCACAAGTCAGCAGCACTCTCTGAAAGCCTCCTTTCCCCTTCCTGCCAAGATTAGCTTTTATGTCTCAGTTATTTCCATCTGACTGTATCTGTTACTGTGAACGTATATTTACAATATAATAAAGCATCACAAGGTTTATGTACAAATCCCAAACCAAATCACTTTCTAACAGGAATTGACACTCTCAGTCAGCTTTGCAAAACCACAATAATAGCTGGCTTGATCAGATCATCTAAAAAAGGATTAAAGTCAGTGGGGAGAGAAGGGGTACTAGAGAAGAAGGGAAAAAAAAAAAGACTGAATCATACAGTTCTTGCAGGAGTATTCTGAAGTCCCATGTAATACCCCTCATGCATGTCTCAGAGAGATTTGTAAAAGAAAGCAGGAACCCATATCTTTGTTTTATGCACGAGGAAGGCAAGGTACAGACAAACCACAGTGACACATTCTGCAGCAGAGATGGCCCTGGAGACAAATCTGGACATTGTGACCACCAGCAACGTACGTATGAGCGCCCCAACTGCTCCCCTCCCTTCCTTCCCCTCCCCCCCTCCCGAATTAATTAATTAAAACATTCCTCTCTCAGAAAAGCATGCATTTTGGATGGGAAGGCACAAATCCTATTTGCTCACCAGAATCAGTATCATGAGCATCCGGGAGTGTGAGATGCAGTCCATTATGCTTTTTGATCACCGGTGTTTCGGTCACACTACTTCCTTTCTCAGAGCCACTGTAAAGAAACAAAACTGTGTTACCTGGCTAGAGAAAATGTTCTTCTTGAAGCAGGCAACAGTCTCATCTAGCTGCCACTGCAACTGAAAACTCAAGTCTTCTAGTTTCAGGCAAGTAGCTTCTTGAATGTGTGGTTTTAACACCTTCACCCCTCCAATGGACAGGAAGGTCAGACACAGTGACTAACAAGGACTCCATGGTACGTGCCACTATTAGTCCATTTGGCTCTTGAGATTTTTGTAAACTGTTGGGCGAGGAACACGCAAGCAGCTACAAGCCAGACCAGAGGAGGCCAACCAGCAACACCATGCTCAGGAATAACCACTGCCCCTTGGGTTTGTCTGCAGAGGATTTGTTCACAGGTCTGATGTGCAGATCCTTCTGAAATAGACCAATTACCACCTTCCACCCAGGTGCTAATTTCTTCATTTCAAAGGGATTGTTTTCTCCTCTTCTACCCTTATTCTGTTCAAACAGAGGAGGAAGATAAAAGCTACCATGTAGCACCACTTTATGAAAGGAAGACTATCTGGTCTGCTCTTCTGCTAGACTTCTGTCCTCAGAGCAGAGGTCTTCCAACGGGAACTCCAAAAAAAAAAAAAAAAAAAAAAAAAAAGACAAATTTTTACCGGTACTGCTTTTGTTGGATATCAGAACTAGCATAAGGAGAGATTTATGGAAGTATAAAAGCTAATAAATATTCCCACATAACAGCTGAAAATAACTTTTCACTAACAGTATAAGAAAATAACAAAACAAAAATGCTGATAGTCAAACCAGAAAAATACATATTTATGTATTAAGGGTTTAATATTTTTCCTAGAACTTTTTTTTTTTTTTTTTTTTTTTTTCGTAGAAGTCACCCAAAGGAAAGCCAAAAAAAAAAAAAAAAAAAAAAAAAAAAATCATGTGCCTAATGAAAATCACTTAACACAGATCTCCTGAGCCTTCCTGTCACCACCTAGTCTGCCATCCCCCCCAGGATCAGATGGTGATGATATCTCCTCTCAGCATCTATTAAGGGACAAAATATCAAAAGGAAAAGTGACTGCCCTGGCTACTTTTTCTGGCATGCTTCCAAGCCTGCAGATCAGCCTTTGAACAATATTCCTTCCAGGAAACAAGCTGTCACAGAGTCATGATTGCTGTGGATGCCCCATCTTCCAGTCTGATCGATCCTTTGGTAAAGATTGCATAGGATTCCCTTAGATTTGCATTAATTTAACAGAAGAATTAGCTTGGGACTGCTACTTGGTTTTAAACATGATTATTCCGTTATCACAGAAAACAACAGCAAAAGATAAACCAAATCTTGACCTCCCCAGCTAACAATCTAGGACTGAAAGCCACTTACTGTCATTCATTATAATGATAATCATATTTACAGTAGCTAATTAACACTTTACTTGGGCTTCGGCACCAAACATTACAGTTTCTGTTAATGGACCCTGAATTCTTGGGCCATTTGACCGCACAAATCTCCAGCCTTGACTGGGCCTCCCTGTCTTCCATACTGGTTTCCACGTCGATGCCCCAATTTGAGAATTTGTCATGTGGTGAGGGAGACAAGGGAAAACTAAATTCCCTGCCCTGAGCCTCAGCCGTGCCTAGCCAGGAGTAGCCCAAATGTAAGTGCCCTGGCTGGGGGCTGCTGGTGGAACAACTGTGGGGGCATTTCTGTCCTGCTGGTGTGTTGTGTATGCAGGAACGTGGCAGCTGCACTTCAAAATGCTACTCCTGTGAGACGAGCGCTGCTTTGATGCGGCAGCCATCACCATGGACATGGCTGAACACTGGTTTACACACTATACTCCTACACAAAAGACAGGGGAGGAGATCAATGGATGGCCTAGGTTTGGCCACAGTAAAAACTGACCACAGGAGAGCAGCGTTCAGAGAAGGCTTGATGAGGTGGCTCCAGTTAACAAAATGCACCTCAGTACAGCCAACAGCATGGCTTTTTAACTGGGAAAATAGACTGAAATCTCAGCCTGAAAACCAAGTAGACTGCATTAGGCAAAACAGCCACTCCCAACAGCTTTATTTGTTATGCTGGAGAAGGGCTGAAAATGAACTGCTCCTTCAAAGCTGCAGTATGAGGCCTTCAGCCAAGAAAGCTTTTCCATGCAGCACGGAAGGGACAGAAGCCAGATGATTTACCTTCCGCATATGGCACTGGAAAGGCTGTCAGTGGGACATGGTGCCACTCCACTGCCCACGTTTTTAAAAGGTAGTTGAGACAGTGGATAAAATTATGACAAAAATTGCTGAAGAAAATGATTGTGAGAGACTGCAGAGGCCCCAGTTTATCAGAGAGGAGACTTGAGCATGGCATCTGAATAGCTGTCTGGGGAGAAAATATTTGGCCCTGAAAGACTCTTTAGTCTAGCAGAGTCACAGTAAGATTGCAAAGCCAGAGAACTTAAGCCAAACAAATGCAACCAAATGTAACTAAAGGGCAATTTAAGTGTGTGGGCGATTAGCTACTGATTGAACTAGTAAAAAGTATTGGGTACAACAGCTCTCAACTTCAGGTAAATACAGGCTTCTCTTTTCCAAGAGGCACTAAAAAATATCTATGGAAAGTCTTACTGACAAGAATTCCCCTTAAGTTCCTTTGCAAGCCCAACCCGGAATATTTTACATATTTGTTAGCTGATAGTGCTGCAATTTGCTTAATACAAGGGGCTTCCTGGGTCACTGAATCCAGTCTAAAACTGCAGGTGCCAAGTCCATTCTTGTTGCCTTTCAAGCAGTATGTCCCAATACAAAATGCTTTATGAAGTATTTTTTGAGAAAGTCAAAAAGACCCACGGGGAATAGCACTGAAATACACATTAGAGTTCCTAAGAGCAAAAGCAAAGCAATTTGTTTTGTATAGGCTTCTATGGCTAAAGCTTATCAAAAGCCTCTAAAGCTATCGCATCTTGGGTTTTTAAGCATAACAGCCAAAGCACAGCTTGGGATTCGAATGCAGTCCAAATTTGTCTGTCTGTTTTCCAATGTGCTCTGTTTCAGTGTCAGGCTTGCAGCCCCCTCCCCTGCAAGAATAAATCTTACTCAGTCCTAATTGTTCAGCGTGGATTTGATCAGCTTCATGAGGACTACTCATGGATATAAAGATTACTCATGTGAGAGGTACATGATTGAATCCTTAGCTAGAGACTAAGGCCTAAGGAAATCAATGAATCCAGCTTGTAACAGACTATTTCTCTGCTGCTATGTAAATATCTTGATTTTTGTGTTTGGTCTGCTGCTCATTAGCTAAACCAACAAGGAATTACTAATAATCCCTCAAGGACAACTTGTATATAGACATGCATCATTCTGTACATATGCTTCTGGTGTTTATAAAGCTTATGAAAACGCATACAGAAATTGGGGAACAATACAAGCTCCATCAGTGTGCTGTCATGATGACTGTTGCCATCAAGTATGCTGTCCTTCCAATCAAACACAACCTCTATGGATATTACAGGTGAGAGATAAGCAGAGTCTTGGGATAACATTCTCAAGACAGTTGTACAGTGGTAGCATGACTGGGACAATATCCAAAGGGTGTGAGAAGGAAGAAAACCCAACCTGGTAACTTCCACACTTTCTAAACTTTTTCTTTTGGAGGGGAAGTAGATGAGAGGAAGGGAAAAAACAGACAACCTAGCACTGTTTAAATGCAGATCTATTAGGATGGGAAGGAAGAAAGATGCTACATCCTTCACTCCTTTCCTTGCCCAGTTAGCACCAGGCTATGCGACTGGCATGCAACCACAGCATATGACAGAGACTTGGATGCCTGCCTTTCCTTGGCTTACTCAGATCAGGACTGTATCTCCCCCACATATTCCTGGGTGGTGCCAACTACTGCAGACTATGAACAATAGCTGATCGATGCTCAGACTATTGAGAAAAAAAAAATAAATCTGCCTTCCATTGTGGATATCTGTATATGGACAGATGTTCAGACATTCAGATCATAAACTATTGGTTCAAACTGCTTCCTCAATCTTAAAATCTTGAGATTTCTTTTTTTTTTTAATCACAGCTAGAAAGATTACTTATGTTTCTTTTTAAACAGTGCTGTTTATTACCATTTTGCAAAATAACTTAAATATATAGACAATTAAAGAAGATAACTGCATGTCTGTTACGAAATCTGAACTTGTAGGAGAAAGCCTACCTGTGCTGTAAAACATTATATACCATCTGCCACATCTGCAACATATGTCTGCATGTCACCAGAGCCTCTTCAGGTCCTTTATGTATCCATTCCAGTTTTACTTTGGTGAAGAGTAAGCTGCAAGATGAAAAAGAGTAACTTCTGTTTTATTGGCATCTCATAAACGTGGAAAATCAGTATCACTCTAGCGAGATCCTGGCAGCCAGCATTTTTACTTGCTTTGTATGTGCAGCAATAAAAGAAAACACCGTAGCACAAAACATTTCATTTGGCTCAACTTTGATTCCCCACAAGGAGATGAGAGGATTAACAATATTCCTCAGCCGCAGTCAAATTTGCGTCACAAAGCTGGCAGGACAGTGTTAAAAGCAATGCACTGCAAAATTAACAAGGTGAAACGTACAGTGAATCTCATTTTATTTTGGACAGCATTAAAAACAGAATACAAAGGAATTGCCAGAATACATATGTCAGACTGTTTTCTTAGTCTGGCATCTTCCTATAGCACTGGCTTATATAATAAATTTCAGACAAAAGACCCAACACACTTAATATATGCAGACAATTATGCAATGCCTCACAGGAAGGAAACGCTTTTTCTTAACCCCGGCTGGCAATCATCTCATGCCCCTAGGCAAGACAGCTGATAGCCCTTGTACATTCCTCTTCTAGGTAGTGCAACTGCTGCTACTATTCTTATACCTAGAGAATACCTACTTACACAGACCACTGGAATTCAGCAGAATTAGGTCAAGCAGAGGTTAGGAGGCAGATTCGGCAATGACAAAACCTACCACTTGCTGCTAGCATGGCTTTTAACATCATCCTTCACAACACCCATTTTATTTTTTTTTTAATTGCCAAGATAATTGAATTTATTTCTTATTTACAAATGTAAATTTATTTCTGTGCTTTAAACGTTTGCATATAGTCCAAGATTTATACATGTTGAATTAGCTTGATAAGGCTAGCAATTACTCCACTGGATGCACACAGATGTACATAAATGCATACATTAGCAGCTGAATGTTAAAAATCCTAAAACCAATTTGGTGAATGTGACCTGCAGGCTCCTGGGGAACCCAGCAACTTCAGAAAGAGACAACATCCACTGCACAGATGATGCTAGAGAAGACTTTGCAGCTGAATAAGAGATCCTTCCCTTGCAATAATTAGAAATCTGCAGGAAACATGCTGTGGTGCATATCTACAGTAATGAGCTGGCAGTCCCATTCTGCCCTAACAAACATTGGGGTTTTGTGGTGAGTTTTTTTGTGGGGCTGGGAGGTCACCAAAATGTAGCCCACCTGTATCAGCTGCTATAGGGAAGTCTGCTCACGGCCGGTGCTACAGTTTGACCCCACAGGACAAGCATTCAACTAAATTCCCCAGGTACAAACTGAGGCTAGGTAAGAAAGGTCCTTTACTATTTTGTATCCCTATTCTATATTTATCTTTCATTTTCTTGTTACTGATCTGAGCAAAACAAATGCTAATAAAAACATCCCCTGCTCCTGGGAGCTGCTGACCCCCTCATGATTGAGGTAGTTATTTTGGGGCTAGATCCATGGATTGATCAAAGAATTTGCTGGGACAAAGAATATAACAGAGAATGCACTCTTAAAATAAAAATGAGACTGAATTCAGAGGAGTGTTTAACAATGGAATCTGGCCAGTGATGCATGCTGTTCTGTATCCCTTAGTTAACTGGGCTCATAAGAGCAAAGCTTGGTTTAGTACAACAGAATATAGAACCAATCACTTTGGAGCAAGGAATGTATATTGTACTAGAAAGATGGGAGGTTATACCCTGGAATGCAACAGCATTATAAAAGATAGCTTCATGAACATGAAGTTCCTGAACAACAATGCAGCCCAGAGGTTAAGAAATCCTTAGTATCCTTATACAGAAGCACAATCAAGGAGCTGGAAGATGTGGTCATTCCTGTTCACAGCATCAGGAAGACACTTACTACAATCCTGTTTCTAGTTCTTGCTCTTTAAGTCCAAAAGATGAATAAAAATGGGATGAGGTTCAGAAAAAGGTTATGCAAATAATCTGAGCATTAGAAAAACGTATTTCATCAGAGGCTTAAGAAACTCAGTTTATTTGGTTTAACCGAGAAGCAGCAAAGAAATTATTTTACTCCAGATCTACATAGAGAAGTATCTAATTGTGAGTCTTTGATCTAAAAGGTATCAGAATATCCAAGGATTTGTTGGAAGCTGAAACTAGTCAAATGGAGATTTGTAAGTAAATGCTGACACATAACTATCAAAGCAAATAATCTTTGCAGCAACTACCTTGTGCGCACAGTAAATTCTATAGTCTTTAAAGCCTTTTCAGCAAGACAAGGATAACATCTGGAAAGCAATGCTAATGCACAAATAGAAGCCATGGGTTTGATGCACAGGCTCGTGAGTGAGCTGCTTTATACTGCACTGTGCAGAGGGGTGAGACTGCATCATCACCTTCCTTTTGGCAATTCATCTATTAAAAATATTCTACCAGTCCAAGAAACAACCACACTGAACAATCTATGCTATCTTAAGCCTACAGAATAACTCTGTGCTGAATAACTCCACACTTTTGAATACCAGAAGATACCATTCTTAATATTAATGAAATAGAAGAATATAAGAATGAAGAATCTATTAACAGTCAAACTACTATACAGGAGAGATACATTAAGGGTTCTTCCTCCCTTTCACATTAGTAGGGATATAGATGGCTTAGTTACCCGTAGGCAATTAAAATAATTACATTGTATATTTAAACATTGCAGTTAAACCTTAAAAAGACAAATGCATTAAGTTCTCTCCATCACTCTGATGTTTACTGTTTACACTGAATATACATCAACTTCTTTGGATAAAGATGTAAACTAGTAACTAGTGCTAACTAGTAAAACACAGGAAAAAGCAAATCTCTCACAAAAAAACAAAGTCTCAGCAGAGTATTATCACTAGTTGTAAAGCATAGGCACACAAAGTTTTAAAAAAAGAAAAAAAGTCATAAAACTTTAGCAATTGTCTGCAGTGCAACATTACCAGATCTCAGAGATACCAGGCACTGTTAGCTGTTGTGGTAATTCACCTTTGGAATAATGCTATTCATGTTATTGTACAGTAATAGAATGAACCAAACTAAAAGGTAACTGGGAAGACTGTGACAAAAGGACTCAAATCATACTGACAACAGTAGTAGACAATGCAATTAAATATGATCATTAAAAGGTGGAAAGAAAACAAGTACATTAGGCTGTATGTGCTATATGCTGTTTTTGTCAGCTTCTAATAAGTTTTGTAACAGCAAAATCAGGTAAATAAAAATATGGGGAAAACACTGAAGTAGGTGACAGTTTCACTTATCATTTTATTAATGAGATAGCACTCTTGTTAAAAATAAATCTAATGGGTATTGTGTCATATCAGTGTCTGCGCACAACAAGCATAAATAAAAATTACGTATTACAATCTCACCTTATTATATTTTCTTAATATCATTTTACTGTACTTTTGTATGATGCTTATAATATTAAGCAGAGCAGACTCTTAAAGAGATTCAGCATATAAAAATAGCCCCAAGATTATCAATACAGTCATTGGTAATTCTATTAGCTTCTCGAAATGAAAACAGAGTGGTTTTGGCTAAAGCAAACATATAAATTGCTACTACATAAGCATAGGAAAAGAGAGCAAAAATCCACAAATCATTCTTGTAATGTGTATAATTCCAGGGTAACAACGGAACAATTCCAGTAACAATGGAAAATAACCAGTGCTTACTCTTGATACTGGACTCTAAGCTCTCTCTCAGAACAGGTTTTCTTTTATCATTTACATGGACAGTATGCAAAAGCTTCTACTCCTTGATGTAACATCAGGTTACTGCTACAAGCAAACATACATATGTATCACAGTAACATTAACTCTGGCAAATTAAAATCTGTATACGGTTGACTCTGCTGCAATATGAAACTCTGAAAATTCAAAATTAGGTTCCCAAGTATCAAAATTTCCTTAGTAGTATAAATTACATAAATATCACTATAATGTGCTATGCATTGTCAAAAAATAAGGGCCTGGAATACTGGAAGTCCTATGAAAATTTTCAGTAGAAAGGAGGCTAATTTGGTTGATTTCAGGAGGTATTCAACATTTGTCTTCATAAAGACTGATTTCAGCTGCTGATAGTCACCATGTCTCAAGGTGTGGCCAAATACACTTACCTCACCCTCCTGAAAGTCTTTTAATCCTATGTGGCCAAATGCTCAGCCTTTAAGTTCTTTAACACTACTCATGAAGAAAAGAGGCAGTTCTTTCCTATCATTGACAATTTAATTACTGAGGTTTAATAGTTAATGCTTATTATCAGAAGGTTTCACACGTGCATTCTATATACAATAAATGCTTATAAGCACATCTGTGGAAGAAGTTGTAAGTTGCTAAATTTAGTAATAACCTATTGACTACTTTATGGATGCTACAGGACTACATAAAGATTTATTAATTAGTTAATTATTGGGATTTTTTGTAGTCCTGCTTTAAAATGGAGTTTTTAGTATCAAATGTAGCCCTTTAACTACAAGTTTCTACAACATCCAATGGGATCTCTGTGCCCTATCATCTGACGAGCAATAAATAATGCTAGTACTATGACAAACAATAACACATTCCACTCCTTTCAAGGTTGAAAGACTAAATTAGGAATAATGAGTATTATTTAGTCGCGTATCTATATGTTTTGTCATTCACTGGCTGCTTATAACCCCACCAGTTTTTCAGAGCTTGTCAGCAGCTGCTCACAGATCTTCAAGCTTTACCAGATCAGGGCCATCATTCCCCAAAGTCTTTCATTATTGACCCAGATTTGCCTACCTACACCCAGAGGTGCTGGGTTATTTTAGATCTTTAATACAAAAGAAAATAAAGCAAAACACCAAAACCAGCAGCAGTATGTCCCAATTCACAGAGACAATTGTGTACATTAGCATGAAGATACTGAACTTCTGCAATTAATATTTGTACATTGTTTGTTTCTTTCATTAAATGACAGGATGTGTGTGCCTATTTGATTGTGTGTTTACAGACATTTAACTGGAGAGAGAAACCAG